CCCACACCCACACCCACGCCCACACCCACACCCACACCCACACCCACCTCACACCCGCAACCCAAATTTCTCAGTCCAGGTCCATGTGATGTATTTAAATTTTATTTTTTGCTTGAAAGGCATGTCAACATGCAGTGCCTGCCGGAGCCCTTTTTTAAATTAAGCTTGATTTTTATTATATATACAGTCACTTATGTAAATTGGCGCCCATTTTTAGCGGGTCTTTTGAGTCATTGAACTTGTGATCTCTCTTCTCCGCTTAAAAAGTAAGAATTAATGAAAGAGGACTCTGGTAGTCACTGTATCTTGAGATGCTCTTTCAAACAAAAAAAAAAGGAATTTTAATATGTTGAGAGAACCGGAACAGAGAAATCTTGTTTGCCAAATGAGCTATTTTTGAGCCTTGTTTGGTGCATGCCTTTATCAAACATCATGGTATCGAGCGGACAATTTTGCCATAGCCTCTCCACTACAGCCCCAACATATTCTGAAAATCTTATGCGATTTGAACGTACCTGGGCTCAGATCGATTTTTGAGGGGGATGGGGAGGCCTTAATAAAGCATTGTGTTCATCTATTTGAAAGCCTTCCATAGAGTAATGTACTGTAAAGCGTTTTTGGTGTTATATTCTTTTGAATTATGACATCTCTTAGGACAAACGGATGTTTTTCAAACAAAAAGGCCTTTGAAGCTTGTGTTGATATTCATTATGATTTGTCATTCGTTGTTGAGGTGGAATAGCGAAATAGAGGAGACAGCAATAAAAAGGAGTCATGTTCAATGCATCGAGGAGAACTTCTTTCTGACACTTATTACGACGGTTCACATGGATTTTCGGTGGTAAAAGTCACCATATACGACCGTATCCAGCTAAAGTCTACCACATAGAGGCACAGATTTCTGTGTAGCATGTGAATGTTCACTATCCTTCAAGCACACTGACAACCACACTCACTCGCTTGATGAACTAGAGCAAAATTGATATGTCTGTGTTGTGGTGACTTCATTCACGCCGTCATCTTCGCGGTAACTCTGCATTCTTTTATTCTTTATCTCAATTATACACAACAACTGCTTCTGAAATTTCTTTGACAAAAAAGCGATTTCGGAAAAGTCAGAGTTGAGAGCAGTACATTAAACTCACTATCTTTTCATAAGATAGAACATCTTTGTGTTCGGTTGGTTGGCAAATTTTCCGAAAGAGGAGTTAGGAGATAAAGTATACTTTCTTTTTGAATGTTGTAGTCCGATAATACGTATCCATCTTCAAGTTGTTTCTCGGCAAATATCAACCTCTGTCGATCAGGTGGAACTCCCTCTTCATCTTGAATTTTTGCTTTTACATTTTCAATGGTGTCACTCGGTTCTACTTCTAGTGTAATCCATTTTCCAGTAAGTGTTTTCACAAAGATCTGTATGCCACCACGGAGTCGAAGTACGAGAAGTAGTGTGCTTTCTTTTTGAATGTTGTAGTCCGATAGGGTGCGTTCATC